ATAGCGCGACGCGGCCGTAGTGTTGCGGATTAATCAATCCTAATGTACTTAGAAGAAAATATAAAAAATATTATAATATTATAAAATATTAAATTAATACAATCAAACATGTTTTTATAAAAATATTACATWATTAATACAAAAAAAAATTATTATTTCAATTTGGGAAGTGTATGCTGTGCATACACAGCATATGCACACGCTACGCCACTGGACTATAGTTATAAAATAAACTGATAAGTTCGCAATTTACTAAAAAAATATATAATTAAATATTTGTACCTAATATAATGTTTAAATTTTAAATTTTACTTTATTAGCTACTGAAAACTACATTCGTTTTCGTCTGTTGGGTTCAATAGTAATTATAAGATGTACTATGCCAGAAACATMTCTAACATACATACACTACATACAAGTAGATATTGATTCGTGTAGGTAACAGTTATTCAGTCGTTATTATGAATTTGTCCTGAATTGTGTAAGTCTCATAAAATTATGAAACTACGATACTTAGATGATTTAGAACTTACATAGTAACCATTGTGTTGCAAAATTTAAATCCCAAACCCAATGAACCTTTTGGTATCATAGTAATTACAGAGTTACGGTAAGGCATGTGTATTAGTGGACAGGAATTTCTAAGGAATTTATCACTTGATTCAGATGATGTACCCTGAAGCTAAATCGATCGAATTAAGTACAATTTTTGTATTCAATTTGGATAATTATTTTTATTATAAACTGATTCTACAAAATATGCAATATGACTAGCTGAACTTTATATTCATAGATGTAGAAGATAATTTTTTACTTCAAATTACTGGACTACAGTAATTGTAGAGCTTTGTAAACATTTACTATTTTAAATTCATGAAATAGTATGTTTTTCTACCTATGAAAAAAAAATTTCGAAAAGTTCCATTATTTTTTATAAGTGTTTAGAGTTTAAACTTTTTGATTTGTAAATTAATGATTTCTCATCGAACAGTTTTCTTATACCTAGCCACATTCAGATAGTTGTCATGCAATGGCTTTATTGATAATAATTTATATTTTATTCTTGTATTCATTGAGAAGCCGTTGAAAACTTTATTAATACTGAAACATTATTTTTTTATCTGTATTTTATGCTCCATCAAAACTACGCTAATTTTACAAAAATTAGAGAAAAAATGAATAAATTTGGCCAGTTATATATACAAAGATTGACAAAATAAGGATTTAAAACAAAGTGATCAATAATTCCCTGAAAATCACACACATACTATTTATACTTTATAGGCATTCAATACGATCCATAGAGATAGAGGATAGAGTAATAAATAAGTAAAAGTAATAACTCTATGATACGATCCGAGAAGTGATAAAAAATAAACAATAAAAAAAATATGATTTAGTATTTTTTCTTTTTAAATGTATACAACTCTTTTACGTAATACACGTTAACTGATATTTGTAACTACGCAATTTTTACGATTTTTATTTTGCTATGTTTAATGACTATTATATTTTAAGACTTATTTTACAGTAATAATTTAAGTAACACACGTATAAATGTTATATATTACGATGATATATACTTAGATTGTGTGTTTATAAAATATATATATATATATATATATATATATTTCACAATAATACGCTTAGTAAATAAGACTTCGTTAATTATAAAGTAATATAAATGATTAATAAAGCAATTAAAATATGCAATACTGCATTTTATATATTAATATATCAATGTATAATAAATTTAATAGATTTTCTTAAGTTAACTAATTTGTGTAAAAAAAAATATATATATATATATTCTACAAGACAAAAAATAATATATTAAATCTTTCAAATTTTAAAAGTAGATATTATATACAGAAATAATGATGATGTCATTAAAATAATTTAATTAGAGTAAATTTAATTTCTGCTTCTCAAATATTCGTTACTGACAATAATTAGTTTAAAAATAATATACCTAACCTTAAATCAACAATATTAATAACAACAACAGGCGTCAGACGATATTCCATACTAAATAATGATGGTAAGAATAAAATGATATCGCCATATTGATCTCTGCCTCCATATTTTTGAACATATCTCTGCATTTCACTGTAGTTAGTCCAATTTAATTACAAGTAGAAAGGTACCTTTATGTAAATTAACACAACCGTATTGAGATGCGACAATTGTAATAATAATTGAATAGCTTAATCTGGAAACCGTTTCATGGCCTTGTCGAATAAATAATTCGGTTTAATTTTAATYGGTTTATATGGTAACACACTTTTTTTTGTGCAGAGACGCAATAACATTATGTCATAGTCGTATATTATATAAAGGTCACTAGAATTTACATGTCACTCAAAACGATATAAAAATATGATCAAGCCTGACATCTGGGTCGTGAGACTTAGGTTAGGTGTGTATTAGTTTTTAAAATAGATTTAGATGAATATTACTAAATTGTCCAGTATTTAATTAAAAAAAAAACAACAAATTTAATCATTATTTTTTCTATTAAATATAAATGAATACAGAATTCGTATAGTTTTATTTTTTTACTGCGATATAAATGGTTTTCGAAAAATTAAAATTTACATGGTTTAAAAAAAAATCTTATATTTAATAAATCAAAATCAAAAACTGTCTAATCAACATCCTATAGCTAACGGGGCAGGCGATTAGTTCAAAATAAATTTTGTTTGACCTTATTCTCTTTTAAGATTTTTCTTAGTTTTTGGTCAATATTAAAAAATATCGATGAACTATAATAAATATCAATAACAATAAAGCAATAATATTATTTTTGATATTAATTATTAGGTATAATAATTATTGTAGAAGAAAATATTTTTTTAAATTATTTTTTTTGTCTTTTTTATGACGAACAAATATTTTAAAAGCTCTTTTTCTATATTATATTTTTCAACGTTTTAAGAAATATTAATTTTTATTTGTATGATAAAATACCCTGGATATAATGTGGTGCAGTAGTGACATTCCTTAAAAAACATTAATCACCACAAATATTTTAAATTGAATATGTACTCGTATTATTGCGACTTCACGCGTGCCCTCGTCAACATATTGAGTGTGCAGTACAATCTCGTACTAGTACAATATGCAGTGCAATACTAGTCATTTTTATATTTTCTTAAGCGAAATACATATACATTTTCTGTTCATCGTTCGTAGATTATATCGTTACCACTATAATATAACCGTTTGAATATCCACCATAATGACGCGYTTAAAAAAGAGTTTTTGAGATATATCAATGAGTGGTATTAATTGGCGTTTATATATATAATTATAATTGTCATTAATGTTATCAACAAACGAAAATATATTGTTTTCTACTAAACAACGCATTCTGCACATTAACCATATTAAATCATTAAACCAATTATATTCTACTATTATAATAATTCACCATGGAAACGGATGACAGATTACATAAACTTTATCTTAGGGTTTTCCTCAGTATATAAATAATATTCAAATGTAGGTATAATCGAGATTTGTAACAAATTTGTGAATATTTGTAGGAAAGTCGATATAATTATTATAATAAATGTGAAATATTTTTTTATTCAGCGGAAACTGTGCTCGTTTATGACCGAAAAAGGGTATTTTCGGCAAAAACGTCAAGACTGGCGCCGTTTTATGTATCTTCGGTGTTTTTTTTTTTTTTACAACGTTATATCCTGTGTAATCGATAATTTCACAATATTTTAAAAGTGTGTTTACTAAAAATACATTGTTATATTATTTATTAATATTATCGGAACTGCTGAAAACATCAAAGCGCTGTGTATCACGTAATATAATATCTATAAGATATCGTATTATATCCGGTATAATGTACCGGACGCCCACATGACTCAAGAATACTGCAGTGGTAGTGAGCTTACACATAATTTATACCCAACCCATGGTTGTACCCGCCTTAATACTTGTATTTTGGAATGCATTATTATCATCTGTAATGAATATTATAATATATACATAAATGTAGGTATAATTGTTTCATAAAATGGTTACTGGGAGATCCTGCACTATGACTTTTTCTCTATCTCTCTTACACACACTCTAAGTAAAACGGTAGTATAGTAGGTAACTTTACTATGAAGCCCACTAATTTGCATGGAAATTTCGCAATATAATATTATCATCTATAATCTTCTTTTTCTTCTGGCTTTATCTACTCTACAAGAGATTTTGCCACCATCACAACTTCACGCCATTTCTCTCGATCATGGATTATATTTCTCCAATCGTTTACTCTTATCCTTTTTAGATCTTCCTCGACCATATCCATGCAACTTTTCCTCGGGCGTCCTCGTGGTCTCTTACCCGTTGGTTGCCAAGACAGTACCTTCTGTTTTGATTATCTTATCATCACTTCCACGCATAATGTTCCCCAACCACTGGATTCTCTGGCCACTTATGTAATATTTAATTGGAGTCGTTTCTGTTTCTTCAATTAGTTCTTTGTTGAACTTTCTCCTCCACATACTAGTGTTCGCGTCTAATTTGGGTCCACATATCATGCGCCATATCTTGTTTTCGAAGATAGTAAGCCTTCATTCTATTACGCTTGTAGCCATCCATGCTTCGCATCCATATGTTAGTATAGCTCACACCATCACTTAGAGTTTGACTTTTGTTTTCTTTGACAACATTTTAGATTTGAAAAATTTGGATAAAGCAACGTACGCTTTTCCTGCTTTTATTATCCTTAATCCAATCTCTTGAGACCAGTCATTCTTTGTATTTATACACAAGCCAAGGTATTTAAACTCATTAACTTTTTCATATATCCAGTCATCCGGGTCAGGGTCGATACCATCACAAACCAAGCCTCGGACACGGATCATCTTTAATGAATATTATAATATATATACACGTATATTTTGTATTTATCGATCTTAATTCCGGAAACTATGGCCATTAGCTGTTTGTTTGTTTATTAAGTTTATTATTGAGGGGGAGGGTAACGTTGGTTAGAACACCTGTATGTATGGTGAAAATGTGTCAATAAAAACCTGGGTGGTCACCTGTTTAGTAACTAGTGACGCCGACCGATGCTTGCATTCTGAAAAAGTTTCATGACTGAATACAACCACCACACCAGGTCACATGTGTATATTATATAACAAAATTGTCTTATATAAGGATTTAAAATTCGACGAATACTTAATTACAAAATTATTGTGATTATGATATTGTGAAATATTATCAAGAACTTCTATACGTCTACCAGTCACGGCAATCAAAAGATGCACAAGAGAAGGAGAGAGAGAGAGAGAGAGAGAGATAATGGATGTCAAGACACGCCCACCCGGATCCAAAGGCGCCACCGATCGTTCGATCGTCTAGTCTGACAGGCTCTTGGACCACTTCCTTCCGATTTTGGAAAAATTACATGTGTGGGCCGTGGGGCATATCAAACGCTCATCTGCTTGACGTGGGTAATGAAACGTCTTATAAATTTCAGAGATAATATATGTATTAGAGGAACGCGTACACGTAATTTAAAGTTTTTGATTCAGCATGGGTCGAGACAGTATTCTTGTGTGACGAGTAATTAATTCAGTGAGTATACACCATAATAAAGTAATAAACGATGTGTATACAGATTTCAAAATGATTCAATTTTGTAAATTTTGTTATTAAAATTGAGCGTAAAGCTATTTACAAATCGTCCATTCCGAATTGGCGTTTGAATAAAATATTGTTATCAAAAAATTCGAGTTATTATAACACTGTGGTTGGTACTACAATAATACCATAGTGAATTGAAATATAGTAAATACCGGACAAACTCTTTCAATGAAGTTTTAACCTCCGTTAAGATTTGGTCATTCATATGATTTTTGATCATTATTGATTTCGCGGAGTTTGGTCGTTGTCTCAACCAGTGGTCTTGCCATTTAATTTGAATACATTTTTGGAATAGGCTTTTTACATCTACGTATATTTTATTATTTTTAGTTTTTGATATCAGTGGATTTTGATGCTTTCTTGGGTTCCTGTTAAGGAATTATGTTATAATAATAGTATGACAAGTATAACTTGTATTATATTTAAACGATCATATAATGACACAGATACTATAATACAATTGTAACTTGTATTTGTTTATAATATATTTTGAGAATCAGTGATATTTCAAAATAAATATGTTATGTACAATGCTGTTTAGTTGTAGTCATAGGTTTTATTTTGGTAATTTTTAATATTGTTAAGTATAATTCGATGAAATAAAATGCGAACATTAAAATAAGAGAAACAAATGAGAATTTGAAGGTCAATTAATAGTAACTGTATATTTTACATTGACAATATTTAAAATATTCTTTATTCTAGTATATTTTTAACGTACACACGCTCAAAGAAAATTACATTTTATTACGATATAAGCATTTTAATTGAAATTCTTAAGGAAAATAAAATGATTTTTTTCAAAGTTAAAAAACTAAAAGTAATATACATAAATATTGCACGTTTAAGGAAACTTATTTTCTAGTTTAAAACAATTGTCGTCATTGCACATACAAAAATAACATTATTTTAATAAATAAGACACATAATAATAATCTTAAACATTTTAAGTATTCAAAAACAGTTTCCACATTATTTAATATTTCTATATGTTCATGAAAAAAAAAAAATGGTAATTACTTAGCGTCTGGTGTAGTGCATTTTCTTTATGTTAATATTGGTAGAATATACATTTTTATTGAATTTCATTGCATATTATAATATAATACTAACGAAACTATTACAAGGTTAAATAATATATAGTTAGTCAGGCACGGAGATAAGGGGAGCAGACTGTACCTGGCCCACCCTATATCTAACCTAACTAGCCTTAGGTCAGCCTACCCAAAGTATTCAGTGAGGCCCATTATTCTATAATGGTTTTTAATTGTTTCCAAATTTTTAATAGATTTTTAATAAAACATAAAAATAGAAAAATCCTTTTATATTAGTACTTAAATATTTTATCTATTGTATTTAATTTCAAAAATTTTGTCTATATACATTAAATGTTTGGATTTTATTATTATTAAAATTATAAAAAACATTATTTGTTTTTGATTTTTAGGTGTGTATTAAAACGTAATTTTTTTATTACATTTATAAGTTACTGCAAAAATGATAAAATATGGCATAATTAGGTTATATACTTATATATTTGTAGTAATGATATGCTGACAAAGTGATAAAGCATTTTAGATTCTGAGTGGAGTGAGGAATGTATTGATTTTACCATGATGTGTGTTTTTCCCCTTTTTATTCTGTAAACACTTTTTCTCCCTCTAAACTTGCTCAAAAGAATCAAATGTAGCATATTTTTTGAAAGATAATGTTCTTGAGCTGGTACTTTATTTTTTGATTTTCAAACGGTACTCGAAATAAAAGCTGTTAAAGGAGAAAAAACGTACGATTTAACGATTTTTTAATATTATATAATTACGGATGACGTTTTTTACCAGTAATATTGCTTCAAAAGAAAAATGACAAAAGATATTTTTTTGTGGTATTTTAGACTTAGGGGGGTCAAAAATAAAAAATTCTCAATATTTTTCTAAATAATCGGGATAGTAACTTTAAAACAAATAACCATAGATGTATGAAATTTTCATCGAATTATATAAGTATATTCTACCCACCATGAAATTTTCAAAAAATTTCAATTTAGGTTGAACTATTTATAGGCATATGCAATTGTTGATCATTTTTAGTTCTTTTTTAATTAATTTCGATAAAAATTTATTTTTTGAACAAAAAATTATTATCAATAGTGCCAAATATTGTCAGGACAAGACATGTTTTGTATCTCTTTAAAAGTATATTATAAATTATTTCTTTTTACGTTTTTCAAAAAATAAATTGGCACATAAACCTTTTAAATATCGTTAATATTGCGTTCTCTTATCGAATAAAGACTTTTTGTTCACAATCTCCCAAAAAGCGACTTAAGTTTGTAGAACACTCTCAGAGTTCTTTAAAAAATTACTAAGTATATTAAACTTTAAAAATTGAAATATCGTAATTAAATATAAAACGAATTTCTCACATTTTGCTTTAACTTAAGATGTTCTTCAGAATTTACAAATCCAATTCATTGAATAAAAAGTTAATTAAGTCGAATTAGTTTAATAATAAAGGGTGATTTTTTAGGCATGCTCACTCTTATTATTCTCTTTAATAGTACATTTATTTAAATTCTAGATTTTTAGAATTTTTAAGTTGACTCTAAGGCCATATTTTCAAATTTCTGATATTTTTTGAACTACTTAAAAAGTATCTTGTGGCGATACCAGCTATTTTTTAAATGAGATACCTCCATTTTTATTGAAAACTATTTAGTGGATCATTTTAATGCTTTAAATTCAAAATTTTAATGGATAATTTCTGAGTTAGCAAAATATTTATACTGAGGATAATAATCCTTAAAAATGATTTTATAAAATAAAACCTATTTGTAATGTTAGATGTAGCATTTATTATACTTAGAMCATGTTTACAAATTATTTATATTGATAAAACAATAGTAATTGGTATTTTTTTTTTAAAGTCTATGCCCCCCTATTTACTTAACCCATTACCATAGATATATTATTCTTAAGAAGTTAAATAACTCAAAAACTACTAGTTTGAATTTTCATCTAGATACATAAAAATGCACAAAAAAAAATATAAAAGGGAGATTCCTATTTGAAAAACTGAAGTTTTTAGTGTCGCAGGATCATCTAAGTGGTACAAAAAATGTTCTGAAAGTGTATTTCAAAATTTCAAAATTTTTAATATTATTATATGCATAATTGAACCATAAAATTAGGCTGACCTTAAAATATCAACCTGTATATAAAAAAAATAGTTTATGAATTGAAAATAAGACGAATATGAATGTTGTTCATAATATCATCTTGAACAATGATAGTGAATAATACGTTGTAATCGTTTTATGTAAAGTCTATTCATAGGTACAGCTGATATTATAGCGATTATACTTACTGTATTTTTGCGTACCAATTAGTGTTTAAATAGTTCATATTGTGAATCTATCTGATATATTCCTTCTATATTATGTTAGTATATCGACAAGCACATGAATCATCAAGAAAATATGTCAGATAAATAAGCAGCTAAAGCAAAATAGTGTTACTGTATTATGCTTGTAATAGTAAAATAAATAATATTTATAATATTAAAATGTATTTAAAATGTTTAAATATGTTTTATGTATTGTTGTGTTTTAATTGATCGGAATTAGAATTTTAAGTAAAATTATTTTGAAAATAATGCCGCATTCAGATAATATTTTAAACCATACGTTTAGTTGCACACTCGTCACGCTTCGCTCAAGTCAGCGAAAAATCATTTATTATTTTCGTTATATAATCGATATTATGTAACACATTATTTTTCATAGAATTCGTGATTTAAAACCATTTGCATTTAAAAATACTCCTAATACATGTTTTTAGTAGGCAAATTTTTT